CAGTCGGTGGAATTTTGCTAGTTGCTACAAATGAACTCATCTATTTAAATCAATCCGTCCCTCCATGTGGTTAGTTATCTTTTTCACTTCGGTTATATTCAGATCTAATTGCTGATGGGTTTATTAAAAATAGCAATATTCGTTATTGGGTTTTTGAACCAATGATGGCCTTGCACTTTGCGCGTCTATCTGAAAGCATTTTCTCAGTTTAAAATTCTAGCCTTAAATATTCTTTATTTGACCCGGAATTGATGCTAAATCTGAAGAGAAATGAAAAATTGTTTTACTCCGTTGAGCTGTCTTGGCTCTTTTAGTTCTCTTGGTGCATCCACATTTTATAGGCATATCACTTAACAGCTGCATGGATGGTTTCACTAAATTTCCACTAAGGGATTTCAAGCATATGGTTCTAACACTAGACGGCTGTGTTGTGACCGTTATCTCTACAAATAAGGTTTTGCATCTCAAATTTCTCAAACTTTTCTAGAAAAACTTCCATCCACTGATTCTTCCATTTTTGTATGTGAACAAGGATTCCTGATCATTGAATTATGGAGATCAACTATTTCAAATGTTAGCAGGATTTCGCAAATGTTTTTCATTACTTTTAGATTTTACTATGTGATCGCAATGGACGATTGTTTACACTGGTTTTAGTTACGGACGCTACGAATTCGGTCAAGTCACTGGAGTTGAAGTTCCAGTTTAGTAAGTTAAGAAGTGCTTTTCACTCTTTTTCTTATTTTTCTTGAATCTGCGAAGTCCCCTTCCTTTTGCTTTATAAAAAAGGTAAGGGGATTGTTTTCATAGCTGGAGTAATTTGCACTGATTTCACTTTTTAAGTGATATTACCTTCCTAATTTTAGTAATATGGAATTTTTATTGTTTTGGAAAATATATTATACTGGAATGCCAAAAATATATAACATCTAGAGTGAAAATGTATTTACTCAATAAAAAAAGGAAATGAAAACATTTACTCAATAAAATGAACTTAAGCGTAACCGATGAGCTATTTATGATCTAGGAGTGCAATTATGATATGAAAATAATAGACATGCTGTTATTGTCTGAAATTAGAGTTGAGTAAATGAGGTAATCTGAATGTTACAATTTTCCGACGACATCGCGAATAAATTATTCATTTTTCCTGAGATTTTCTGTAAATTTCGAAACTTATCAAAAATTCTAAACAGGAGTTATCCATTTCACTTCTCCCATTTCATCTTAATTTAAAAACTTTCCAGGAAATTGTTTCCTTATATTGGAAGCACTATCATTTCATATTGTAGTGATGACAATCTAATGTTTTTATTGGGGCGTAAATTTGCTTCAGAGACGGTAATCCCGTGCACGATGACTTCCTGTGCACCCGGCTATCTCTTCATTGGCTCTCGTCTTTGTGACTCCGTGTTTCTACATTGTATTTTTGAACAATCTACGTTAGATGAATCTGCTCCGAAGAAAATAAAGTTGAACACTGAACTTAATGCGAATGAAGATGAAGATTTCGAGCTTTATGGAGAAGTGCTTCCGAAGGTTATTGTTGTTAGCACTATCGATTACTACTATTATCGATTCGATAGTGGGGAGAAACGCACTAAAAATTCCTTGCAGAAGTCTTCCTATATGGACTTATAGGATATGTTGATAGTATGTGTTCGCTCATATATCCCAATTACTGATGCTATTATTTATGCCTTTTGGTTTTTTAGGTTGCAAAGCCGGATTCAGCAGAAGAACTATTGAATATTCGTGTGCTTGATAAATTGCTTAATGTCGGTCCTTGCAAGAAAATAACTGGTGGTTGTCCGAGTATCAGTGCCTACTTTCAGGAAGTAACTCGAAAAGATCCACTTTTTGATTTGGTGTGTTTTTTTAAAGGTTCTCGAAGCCGTTTAACAATGCAGTAAATTACTCTGAGAAAAAAAAATTACTCTAAAGAATAATTTTATGTGCGTGTTTAAAATGCATCTCCACTACAAATAAGATTAGCGTATTCGTTTCGTTGATATGGCAAATTTAAGTTGAATTTCAGAGAGTATCTCAAAGCTTTTTTTCTTTTAGAAGATCGCGCACCACTATATTTAACAGACAGTCAGATTTCTGTTAGGGGTACGATGCATTGAATAACCGGATAGTCTTAACGAGCTTATTGTCTGAATGCTGTCGAACAATTTTTGAAAATTAGTGAGTAATTGGATTTTGAACTAACACTATCAGAATTAATCCGACATTGTAATATCTTAGGTGTGTGCCTGTGGGCATGGGAAATTTGGAAGCATTTGCATATTTCAAAGAAGCGTTCGTCCCGAAATCGTTACAAGTAGCAGGTTAGCTCATCTTTCTGTACTAGTTTTTGTCAAGAGGTCCTTCAACTGGATATTAAGCATGTAACGATCAGTAAGATTAAGTGTGAAAAATTAACGATGCTTATTCAGTAAGACTTGTAACGGTGTCGTTGAGAGGTAATAATTTTTGGAAAATAACAGGTGCTGCATTTTTATGTGGTGATTTCCGAATGTCTCCGCAGTTGATACAATCACTAAAGTTGTATTAGAGTTCATGCTTCTGTTTATAGGGTATTTTCAGAATAAGAGGGCCAATGATTGATGTTGAGAAATTTGAATTATTTAAAGATATAATGAAATAAGAGCAGGATTTTGTCTCAGACAAAAATTCTGAGGCTTCAGTACGTTGAGTATGGTACTTTTGTTGATCGTGTGCCGCTTGCGATTTTACTATCAGTACATTGTCGAACTTTGGTTACTGATACATCACTTTCGTATAAGAAAACACCGTTTTTTGTTTTGAGTTTGAAGTTAGTGTTGTGTTTCTGAAGTTTTTTCTTTCAGTATTGAGGGAGTTGTGCAGTACTGGGCTGTTGGGCGCCGTGAGGATGATACTCACATGTACTTTATCGCTTCAAAAGAGGTCCGATTTTGTTGTAACGGTTTTTAACTATACATTCAGCTCTGCAAATAAGCATATATCATTTCAGTGATTTGAGGGTTGGAATGATGCATCTCTTACATTAGACAATGTATAATCCTATGAGTAATGTCGTTGTATTGTTAGTAGATACATTATATCAAATGATTGAAAGATCGTTGTAATTCAAGTCTTATGAACTAAATTCATTTTGTTAATCTTTTTACCTTTTGAGGTATGTTCCTTTATTATTTTGCATTATCAAGGGATCTAAATCTGTAATTTATATGTGAAATTTGTTAGTTGGGAACATTGGCATTGGAAACAGATAATGATTTGGTTGAATTAGAAGCACCGATATTTGCGACCTCAGAGCCAACCATTGCTGCTGGTGAATTAGCCGATGGTGGTCTTGCTGTTCAGGTACTCTTTTCATGTTTTTTTTAAAAAAAAAAGAAACAGGATATAATATACTCTTGTTCTCTTGATCATGAAGTTCTTGTTTGCTTTTTTCAGGTGACCACCTCAAGTTTAGTAATGGTTGCAGAAGGGCAGCAAATTCAGCATATACCGCTTCAGTTGACGTTTCCAGTGCGAAGTGCTTCCATTGTGGATCCATACATTGCAATATGTACGCAAAATGGGAGATTATTAATGTATGAATTAACCAGTCATCCGCACGTGCATCTAAAAGTAATGGCATCATTCTTAAAATTTACAGCAATTTCTTTCAAATCGATTTCCAGAAGTATCCATGGCTAGCCTATGTTAGGTTAGTTATGTAGTTGGAGCTTTAAATTTTGATGAAGAGATAGGTCGAGAATTTCGCTTTACAGGAAATCGATATTTCGAAAAGACTGCGTCATGAAACGTCGCCAATAACATCCTTATCAATTTATCGTGATATGAGCAGCATTATTCGATTTTGTTCTGCAGCAAACATCTCTCAACAGCAGCAAACAACTGGCGCTAATGTGCAGATTCCAGAGCATGAAGATTTTGAGGATGTGGATGATTTGCTGTTGTACGGGGATTCCAAGAAATCTAGTATGTGGTTGTCTTCTTCAGTATATGTTTCTGATTTAAACTTTTTTCTAACACAATTTCATTCAAATTTGAAAAAAAATTATGGGGTTTGGATGGAATATTATTCACTTAATTCATGGCAGCAGGTTCGGGAAACTGAAGTCCATATAAAATCTTTTCAGCCATAGGATTATAAATTGGGATTTCTCTTATTTAAAAATTATTAATGGTAATATTTGTTCCAGAAAAAGAAACGGTATCCAAACGGAGAATCGTTGGAATGAAGTTAACGGAGCAAAACACTTATTTTGATACCGATGTTATTGATCCAAATACGATTGTGCCATCACATTGGATTGCAGTAAGTATTTGATAGTGTACAGGATGTGAAAAAATGCTCGATATGATGACTTTATATATTTGTTATAAACAACTGGTTTTTTTTTCCTTTTTTTTTTTAAATTTGATAGCGTTTGTGGAATGTTCATGCAATGTTTTGTTATTTTCAGATTGCGCGTGAAAATGGAAACATGTACATATATTCTATACCGGAACTGCACTTAGTTTATATGGTTAAGAAAATTAGTCATTTGCCAGACATTGCTACAGATCAACCTTATGTTGATGATGAGCCAGCTACGGCAGAAAGTATCGATACAATGTCCGCAACAATGACTGATACATTTGCTGCAAAACCGGAAGAAGTGATTATGGAATTGGTAAGCATTTTCGGACTTGCTCTCAGATTTCTTCCGAGAGTATTACCTTTTTGTTGACAGATGGCCATTTGGTGTTTTTTCTTTTAGCAGGAGATCTAGTCACTTCAAATATAAGTTTTGAAAAAAGAAATGGATTTGAGAAAAAAATTAGGTGTTGCCTCTATGTTTTATAACATTTGGCATGTCGTCGAGGTTGATTTTCAGAAAAAATTTGAAATTAATACAGCTTATATGGAGTAAAAATAACCGAAATTTGTAGCTTATGGTTGGAATGGGAATGAATCAGGGACGTCCAATGCTTTTTTTGCTTATTGATGATACGGTTTCCGTATACGAAATGTTTACTTACAATAACGGTATTCAAGGACATCTTGCCGTACGGTATACGTTTGCTTTTATTTTGCTTTTTTTTAGTATCACTTGCTTCTCTCGATTCTTCAATTTAAAAGTATCGATCTCAAGCTTTACTCACTCAAATCGTAATATTAAGGAAGAAAACAGTTAAAACTTTCGTTTTCGAAAAAATGCATCTAATATTGGAAATAATAGTTTTTTTGGACGTTCTAAACTAAGGTAGTTCATTAACGTATAAGATTTAAACTTAATTAAAAGCTGTAAAACAGATTTGCCTTCTACTTTCCAAACTACAGTGAGCGGACTGTCTCTTTTTCAAAATACCAGCGGTATTTTTAATCTTTTTTGATTTAGTCCAACACTAGTGCTTTTGTGAAGCAAGTTTTGATAGTACGCTAATGGATTGGATAAATATATTTTATAACGCAAACCGAAGACAAATAAATTTGAAGGTAGAAATATATTTTTCAGTTTTCTCTTGAAAGATTTAATTCTTATAATTGTTGCAGATTCAAGCGACTTCCATACACAGTTGTAACCAGGTCATGCCGTTTCCAAGGTTTGGATGGCCGAGCAGCGGTTGAGTCAGTTCGAGATGCTGTTAGACACAAAACTGTTTTGCATTTCTTTGAGCGAATTGGCAATGTGGTAAGCTTTTAGCATGTTTCAATTTCTTTTACAAAAGAAACGGAATCTGCTTAATTCAGTTCAAAATGTCCGCTCCACATTCATTTTTCAGTTAAATGGTGTCTTTATTTGTTCGTCGTATCCGTGTATTTTCTTCCTTGAAACTGGTGTACCGCGTCTTCATCCGGTCAATCTTGACGGGCCTATATTATCGTTTACTACTTTCAACAACGCTGCTTGTCCAAATGGATTCATTTATTTGACAGAACGAGAGCGACTTATGCGTGTAGCAAAGTTACCGGTACATTTTCATGGTTTTTTTTTGTCAAGAATTTTAATTTTAGTTAGTTCAAGCGTAAATGAAGGAATGTAATCTGAACGAAAAATGCTATCTGAGCTATCTGTAGTTGGACAAATACAAATTTTTTTATCTCTATCAATCTCATATTCTCTCCTTTGTCTTTTTTTTTCCTTTTCCCTCTTCAGTACCCTTTTACATCTAGCACAATTTAGGAGACTGAAAATTTAGACCAATCAGACTTAGTATTTCGCAAGAAAAAATTACTGCATTCTAGAACGATATGATACTTGACACATCATATCCAGTTAAAAGGATAGATGTTGGAGCCAGTGTTCATAGTGTTACATATTTGCTGCATTCAAATACGTACGCTGTGCTGACAAGTGAGAAAAAAAGGTAACGAAGATGTGTGTGCTTATAAATGATGATAAAACATTCGAGGAACACGAGAAGCCGGATACATTTGTATATCCGGAGATGGATCAGTATAAGTTACAAGTATGCCATTTAACTTTCCTTGCTTGCTGGATATGAAATAACACTGTGGATATGAAATAACACGGCAAAACAGGACATTAATATTGTTCTTTGTGAGATTTCAAAATGTTCATGACCCTAATGTTTTTGAGGTGAATATTACAAGTTAAGCGGAGTAATCCTTCTTGTTTTAATATCTCTTCCTCTTTCTTCTTCTAGCTTTTTTTCTTCACAAGGATTACTTTCCTTCAACGGTATTATTTTGGTTTAGCTCTATTCGCCAGAGGATTGGAAGCCAGTACAAAATGTGGAGGTACTTTTTGAAGAATTCGAAGTAGTCACATGTTGTGAAGAAGTTGTTTTGCGATCTGAAGGTACTGTGTCCGGCGTACAAAACTATCTGGCTGTTGGGACTGCTTGTAATTATGGTGAAGAAGTTTTGGTACGAGGTCGGATCATCATTTCGGAAATTATAGAAGTAAGAATTTTATTCAAGAAACTGCATTGGTTGTAAGATTTTCAAGATCATTGGCTCTTGAAGTGCAGCATGATTGCAAATGATATTGTGATTGTACGTTACTTTGTGCATCAATTTCTTGAAAAAAAAAATTCATGTCCCCTTCCATCGAATAGATTTCCTTCTAATCCAATTTTTGTTTTTATTTGGTATTAGTAAACAGTGATATTTATTTGTTAAGTGGATTAGAAATAAGCATGGGAACTTCGATTTCATCTTTCTCCGTTTTATTTCAGGTAGTACCAGAACCAGGACAACCAACAAGTAAACATCGAATAAAAACGTTGTATGATAAGGAACAGAAAGGACCAGTTACCAGCTTATGCTCATGTAATGGTTATCTGTTAACTGGTATGGGTCAAAAGGTATTTTATTGCTTCTTAATGGCCAAGTACATCAAATCCGCTAAATTTTATTTTGGGGAAGGTTGTGATCCCAATTTTAATGAGGAATAATATAAGTTTGAGACGTAGATTTCATTTTATTTTTTAACCAATTATGGTTTATATTTCACAGTGCTGATAATTTTTTGCTTTTGCATTCAAAATGAAGTTTTTCTGCAAATTAAACTAATCAATTTAGTAGGAAGATAATTATTTGTCCTAAAGCTACTACTCTATCTTTTAGTCTTATTTGAGTGATAAAAAGTTCGAGATTTGATCAAAATCAACTATTTGTTTTTTTTTTCAAATACAGTTTCAGGGAATTATGTGATCACTATTTTGAAAAAGTTCAAAGAGAAGTATTGTGAAACTTAAAAATGTTTCCCACTGCAATGTAACTTCCCTTATTACCTTCGTTTCAGGTGTTCATTTGGTTATTCAAAGATAACAATCTGCAAGGAATATCTTTCCTGGACATGCATTTTTATGTTCACCAGCTAATTGGTGTGAGGAATCTTGCCCTTGCGTGCGATATGTATCGTTCGGTAGCTCTATTGCGGTATCAGGTGATCATCTTGTTTATTATTTCTCGGTAGACAATCTTTCAAATGTAATGGAAAAAAGTAATTTCAACTGATTTTATTCTCAGGAAGAATATAAAGCACTCTCATTGGCTAGCCGTGATATGCGCTCTGATGTTCAACCACCAATGGCCGCTCAGTTTATCATCGATAACAAACAAATGGGATTTGTAATGTCTGATGAAGCGGCCAATATAGCCATTTTTAATTATTTGCCCGAAACACTTGAATCACTGGGAGGCGAAAAATTAACGTTACGAGCTGAGATTAATATTGGAACAGTTGTGAACTCATTTATTCGAGTCAAAGGTAATCGTCAAAATGATAAATATGAGCCGGTGCCTTTTTAAAAATTTTTGAAACTTCATATCATTTTAAATAATATGTGGTATGTATGCTCTTTAAGGTTATACTGTTTGTGTAATTTTTCATGAACAGAAATGCAAAACCGTTTTTTATGGTTCAAATTTTATTAAAACTTTAAATTCTCAATGAATGCATATATGTCACTCTAAATATGCCCTTTTCACCTCCACGTCACAATGTTTTTTTAATGCGGGAGAATAGGGACGTGCTCATGATCTGAAAAAGCAGTAATGTTTTTTAGGTCACATTTCAAGTGGCTTTGTTGAAAATGAATTATTTTCATTGGAACGACAGAGTGTTTTATTTGCTTCATTAGATGGAAGTTTCGGATTTTTACGGCCTCTTACTGAAAAAGTTTGTTTTTCTTTCAGTTTTTTTGGAATGACAAAAAATTGGATGAATAAAATTTACATTAAGAATATAATGTACGATTTGATATGAAAAAATACATTTCGGTTTTTCGTGACAAAGCATTTGGAAAAGTTTGGATGCCCTAAATGGTTTACTATCCATAACAAATCGTGATTTTATATTTTGTCAGGTTTTTCGACGATTACATATGTTGCAACAGTTAATGTCATCAATGGTACCACAACCTGCGGGTTTAAACGCCAAGGGTGCACGGGCTGCTCGACCACCAAGGCCCAATCATTATCTTGTTAGTTTTTTGTTGTAGTTTTATTTATACCTAATCTGAAAAAAAGAAATATGACCTTTTTGTCGAAGTTTTTTGTCTTATAAAAATGTAATAAGTGAAGAAGAGGGACTATTCATTCAGTTAGTTATTAAACTTCAAGGATTTTTTTATACTTATATATTGATGTGAAGACTCAGCAAATGAAATATCAAGAGAAAATGGAAGTGATATAAAGAACTTAAGGAAATTTTTTCAGAATACTCGGAATTTGGTGGATGGTGATATGGTGATGCAGTATTTACATCTTTCTTTACCGGAAAAAAACGATTTAGCGCGGAAATTAGGGACTAGTCGTTATCATATTATCGATGATCTCATTGAGATTTGCAGGGTTACTGCGCACTACTAATTGATTGTTAATTTGTTGTAAGCAGTGATGTGCGATGCATTTGGTTCATCTAAAAAGATTTTGGATGGAGTCTTTATGTTTATTTTCAATTAATTGTTAAATATGGTATACGTTATGACATTTGTTCTGGAATATGATATTAGGAATAGCATGACATTTTCTGAATGTCTAAAAATCTTCATGATTCGTATAAAATTTTACTTTATAATCTCTTTATTGCTTGACATTTCAACACAATAATAATGCGTCAAGCGTGAATATCGTACTGACTTTACTAGCATCACGATATTAATAAATATTCCTGTCTGCATAAAAGTTTGTCCATTGAGAACTTATACCTATACCTTGCTTCTTGAAAAGTTTTGATTTATTCCTCGTCTTGTAATAAAGAATTAGTTCTTAATATTGAGTGTATACTACTTTTGACAGTGTAATACTGATAGTAGAGGGAAGAAATGCCTTATCAACAGATCGAAAACACTCCTTCATAATGATGGTTGGAATGTGTGGTGTAAATCAAATATCATCATTTGCTTGCCTTTTGAAAAGTGAAAATGTATGTGTTATTGATACAACAAAAAGAAAAAAACACTTGAACGCGGTTGTGTCATTTCTAAAATGCTTTGCTGGACTAATATTTCATTTTTTTGTTTTTTGAGAAAGTGATGTGGAATTAACTGTCACGTTTGCTGGGAAAACATGTTTTGAAATGCATTCGAGGTTGAGAAGTTCCTGTTTTGCTTTCGATTTTGTTCTCCAGTTCTTGCTGCTGTTCTGTTTGTCTGATAGTTAGGATGAGGAGTTTAGTTCGGAACTCGAAAATTAATTGCAATTATAGTTTGCATTTGGACAACAGTAGAAACCGTAAAGCTTCCATAATCGTAAGATGATATCTACTCACTAAAATGATAAAGTTATCGAAGTTAAAAAATTCATACCCTTATCAATTAACAGTCGTAGGGATAAATTTATGCAAATGTTATGAATAAGTGAATTTTATCTTTATTAAATTTTTCTTGTTGGTAATCAATTGAAGTGATATTTGGGGTCATTTGTTACAGTTATTCCAATGGTCTCCATATAGTTGAGATATATGATTTCCTTGAAGATAACAATTTGGATTAATTTTTGATATGTTGAATAGGGTTGATATTTACTTCTGAATACGAAGTTTTGCATATGATAGGCTAATTGGTTAACAAATGTATTGTTCATATGAATGTTATTGATCAATGTAAGGTTTATAATAATGGAAATTATACATGGAGACCACGGGATAACACAATCGGTGATTTCATCTGTCAACATCTAATTATTGGTATATTATTCATAATTTCGTTCATTTGTTATAAATTCCCCATTGTTATTCCCGAATTTGTAGTAATGGAAAAGAATGTTTTGAGTATCAATCCCATAAAGAGAATATTAAATCAAAGGGTTATTGCTCGTTACAATTGATATTTTTATCATTTATCCTTTGGTCTTACTTGCTAAATCCTAATTCTATAGTTGCGAAATGTTCATCCATTCTTATTGCTTTAATTAGAGGTATCATTGTGACAGCCGTAAAGGTTATCCGATTGATTCTTGATTTCACTGTGATTAAGTGTTGCTGAATGCTTAACATAGTGATCTTTGTCCTATCTTGGGTGAAATCAGCAACCTGTCTGTCCTATCATGTCTGAGTTACATGCCAACATTCACTGTCTTCCTGAAATTCTTGGACATTTTTCCTGTTGTCTTTAAAAATTCTGCCCAAGAATATGGGAAATGTATTCAATGCTTGCCACTCGCAAGGTTATGTAATTAGCGAGGATGAAGTAACTCCTGGGGTCAAAGGTTACAACTGCTTCCCTAAATATTTTTATATCTAAAAAATGTGGAGGGACACATTAATATATCAGTGAATCATTATATATTATGATAATTTGCTAATATAATCTCCTCACTGTTCAATAATTATTGAATAACAATGACTGTGAAAATATTTATAGATATGAATATTTCATTTATTTGCTGATCATATTTGATGTATTCCCTTTCCTTCTCTCTTTCTCCCTCTCTTACTCTCTCTCCTTCTATCCCTTCCTTACTTTGCTCATCCCTTCCAATATTTTGAAAATACCTTGTTGGAAATTTTTCAATTTAAGCACTACCCATTCTATTGATGGATAGAATATTCGACGAGGAAAAGACTAATTTCATTCTATTTGGACATCAATACGATAGAACAAAACGTCTTAGGATAACTTTAAATCAAATGAAAATTTTATTTTCGCTATCTCACCTTAAACTGTCAAGCTATGTTTTTTTCTATTGGTTCAAAATAGCTGACAAAAAACTGACTTGCCTAGTGACCTGTGACCTATCATCACGAATTTTCAACGTAGGAATTGTAGGAATTTTCAACGTATTTGTCCTGTTAAAAACTCTTTGAGATTCCATTACAGTATCACGCAGGTGTGGATCGTTACGAACGAGTAAGGGATTTTTTTGACGATGACGTTGGATAAGTACTACAATTGCGTACTACAATTGATAAGTACTACAATTGCAATATCCTAACCTCCAACTTTTGTCACATCGTATGCAACTGTCTTCTTTAACTGAACATTAAGGCTTAAACTTTTAAAGTATGTATTGTCTTGGAAGTTTTTTGGGGATTGCCCATACCAATCGTCAAAAAATTTTAGTGACAATAATTATTTGATGTCGTGGAAGCTTCTTGACGATTGACACAGATAAATAGTTGTGATAAAGATTTACTGATTAAGAGACTTATTCTTCGTTTATGTCATAAGACAATTATCAGAGAATATCAATCATGGATAGATTGTTCGTTTTCGTTGTAGCCCGTGGGAAAATTCGATGGGAATTTGATTGTGATTATAGTTTAACAGGGATTTGATGGGGTATAGATGGATAGTAGTGAGTTGAATTGAACCGAAGCGCATTGTTAATGGGGTCATCTCTGTGAGTCCTCTCTTTATTTAGTGAGAGTTTGTTAACAACGTTTTAACAGTTGAATATAAGCTTGGTTATCAGACTAGAAGATCTTCATAACAAGAACAATGAATAATTTTAAAAAAGGAAGTGACAGTTGGAGTACAAGAGATGCAACAGTTGTTAATAGATTGAACAAATAAATAATTGGTATATTGGTGCTAAACAAAGGATAGAAGGGAGTCGGTGACAAATTTTTAATATAAGCTTGGTTACTAAATCAGGAGCTTGGTTATTAGATCTTCGCGACATTCCAATATTTGATGGTTCCGGAAGCTTGGTTATTCCGGAATATTGATTATTTCGACATATTTATGTTATAAAAATGTTTCGCTTATTCTAAAAATATATTCCGAATTCATCATTATACCTAGAAAAATAGCTCATAAAAGGATCCATCAGAAGTGAAACTATGTCGCTTAAGGCTCAGTCGGGTAATCGTGATAATGATGAACGTGACATGACGATATCGATCATTTCTTGCTGATTAAAATAGGTTAGCATTATTTTAAAGTTCATTAATTAAATTGCAGCCAGTTTAAAAGTAAGTATAAATGTAGGTTCATTATTAATTCCGTTTTTTCTTTTGTTCATTAAATTAGATTGGTTTTAACAAAGGAACTTTTTTTGCTTAAAGAAGCATTGCTAAGTGAGTGCTGTTCACAATTCCACGGCGCTTTCTTACTTCTTCTCTCTGGACATTTGTGAAGTTTTCAAATATCGCATAGAATAAAACTTTTACGGAATCAAATTTGAGAAACAACTTCTTTGGATTGTCAGTCATGTTGTTTTATACCTTTTTTTTTTCTCGACTAACAAAATATTTTGACAAATAACTAATGTCGATATCGTTTCATATCCTTTCTTGAAAAAGTAATGTAAGTTAAGGACTTGAATTGCGAATTGTCGAAGTTAATGGCACTTTTTTTTAAGAGTTACCTACCTTCTCATGTGATACTTTATATTTCATGCTGTTTACTTCCTAGTAAATTTAGTTAAAATTTCAAAAGGAAAAAGATTGATTAATGATGAAGATTCTTGTCTTCAAATAATTATCCCAGGTTACAATTAAAAAGCACCTCAAACTTTCGACAAATGATTTCAATGATAGATCTATCTAACTGAACCGCATTTACTACTCTGGATTTCTATTACATGAAAAACAAACCTTCTATTTGTTTCTCTTTTCACTCTTCATCTGTCTCCATGTTTTATCAAATATCTCATCGGTAGAAAAAGTAGTGCTTGCTTAAATAAATTGATTGTCGTGTATATGTAGTACAATTGATTTGGTACTATAGCCTATCATTTCCTATTTACAACATCGGAACTGTTGTCATGGTAATTTTCCTCTTGTCCGATAGTTTTATCATTTTTTTCAGTTTTCTGTGTTTTGAAAAACATTGTTGATGAAATTGAACAGCAAATTATGTAAAGAAATAGACACATTGATTAGAATTTATGAGATGAATCAGTTAATTGTTTGATTCATTTGCAATCATTACTTTAAATTTGTTGAAGTATAAATCCGATTCGTTGATTCCTCAAATATGTAATCGCTTTTTTCAGGAATCCTTAAACTTTATATTCACTCGCGGTGCTTCACGGTGATTATCATTTGTTTTTTTATTTGTGACACTATTCAGAACAATACTATCAACAGTAAAAGTATGATTCTTTTCAATACAAACTTCGGACTTCTTGCGAATTTGGTCAAAGGAGCTGTTAAAAGTAATACATTTCTTTATAATATGTTTTAACTTCATTTTAATCTAATCTCCTATTGGCAGTGGCATGGTATATTTTATTGATATAAATCGAAAAATGAATGATAAATTGATGGAATTAACGAGTTAAGAGAGGCTATATACAGTCATCGCATTCACATGATACTTTGAAGATGACTTGAAGATCTTCTGATAATCAAACGATCTGATAAATGAGGAGAATAGGATGAGATGAAGGTGAGCAAGAAGAAAATATGTGGATTAACTGCAGATCGTTAATAGCATCCTTTAATGAACAAATAAATTATTTCAATACTTTACCAAATGATTTTTCCTATACCGTATATTATATTATATTCAATGAAAGAGTACACATAAAAACTGAGAATTAAAATGACACTGAAAATTAGAAGAAAAATGGGAATGCATTACGATTTATCCAATTAACAGATTTAAAATATTGTAACTGATAATTGGTTGTTAAATTTTAAATTTATCTCAAATGCAGTGTAAATTGCAAGCCTAGCAATAGATGCTTTACGCCTGATTCGCAGTACACGTGAAGTAGACATGGTCACATGTCTAAACAAGCACGACTTTTCGTTTTACAAAAAAAAAAGTACAACACAAGAAAACAGTTGGTTTCACGTCTGAAGAATGTGTTTCTCTTTGATGATATATCAATTAGTATTTTTTTTTTATTTTTTATTCGAACAGTTGGTCTCTTCAAAAACAAAAGAACAAAATTGATGAATTGCAGTAGAATTGACTCTTCCATTGCTCGGAACTTCTTTAATCAGTTACACTTTACTGGCAATCGTTGTCACAAGTTAGCTATAGTTTTTGAACTTAACAGTTGAATGGATTTTTCATCAAACAAAAATAATATTTTGAAATTTCAAATGGCTGTTAGCAATATGACGCTTACCGAACAGTGTCACAAATGTTAATCTTTTCCATTTGAAGGGTAAGTATTGGCAACTATGTTTTTTCTTCTTTTTTGAGGTCATATTTTCAGCATCAACATAATCTTTCTATTTAACCTTATATATTATTCTTTCTTTCTTGGAAATTACATTAGTGTTATTGTTATTGTCATGTGATGTAATTTATTAGTTTAAAGGGATTAAAAAGTTTAAAGGAATACGTAGATAGGTATTGACTATAGTCCAGTTTTCGAAACGACATAATTTTAGAACTTAATTTAAGGAATTATATATATATAACGGGAAAGAAGTGGGCTGATGAGGGATATTGTGAAACGAAATGAAGTTTGTAAATTTCCAGTAGAAATGATACCATTATTGAGTTAAACAGTTTATTGTTGAAATCCAATAATGAATTTATGCAAAAACTTGTTTATATGTTGAAATTTGCTGTGCAGAAATTTGTTTATACATTTCGGATCGTTGAGATTATTAGCATTGACGATGTCGTCCGTTAAAATAAAACATTGAGGATTGATGTGCGATAATTGAAGGAGCGCAATTTTAGTTACATACTTTTGGTTGAAGCTAAAACTATTTGAGCTTCTTTAAAAAAAAAAAAAAAAAGGAAGAAAGAAGAAAAGTTCATTAGTAAGCGATATTTTTCTCTTTTCCATTGTCCATCTTGAATTTTTTCCTTTTCCCCTACTTCTCCATCCCACACTTTTTCTTTGTTTGTTTGTTTTTTATTTTGTTTACTACAAAAAAAAAATTCTTTTGAATGGTTGTTGAATGAGAATCGGAATCAGAATTGAAATCAAACAAAGGAGAAATAGATGAAGACTTGTATGATATGTACACAAATGATATAAAAGAATTGATATTCATTTCATTTTCTGTTAAAGGTATTTGATAGCATAACGTGTTACTCTTTTCAATTAGTACTTCATTTAAATGTTTAATTTTAGCATTCGATCGATGATATATCATTGCTGTTACACGATACTTAGATACTATTTGTTGTTGTTGTTTGTGTAAAAGGAAGGAATGCAATGATAGCAATATCATTGCATTGTACAAGTTTATATTCAAAACAAATGTCCAAATTATAATCTAAAAGATTTGAAAACTTTACTCATCGAAAGGACTGTAAATTAGAAATAATCAAGAAGTCAGATTAGGAAATTTGGATAATGCAAGTTAAATCATAAAAATGGTAGAAGAGCAAGAGGGAGAAAGAGAGATAAGAAAAAGTAAGAAAGTCAAGAAGGAAGAGTAGGTAACAGGAGTTTGTTTATGGAGATGACCGATGATATCAATAAATTCAACATTTTTGTTGGAACTAGAAAGAACAATGGAAATATACAGAGTGATAAATTCCTCGAATTATTACATCATTACGGGGACATCACACATAATTTATGTTATGTTTTATCATTAACGCTTAATGCTTTGAAATAGTATATAAAGACAGAATGGATAAAAGAAAGCTGAGGAATGGAGGTCATCTTGTTGTAGCGAAGGTTAAAATGAATTATACCTCAGCGAAAGAATTCATATTGCTTAGCACTTGAAATGGAACTGGTTGGTTAAATTCTCTCGAAATTATTACTATCATTGTGAGAAATGATTATTCTCTCTCTTTTTCTTACCCATTACTGTTTCTAGTTTGCATCATCATATTATATTTTAAGAAAATTTCTGAAATCTAAATTCCTATTCTAAATCTAGAGATGAATGTGTGGTATTTTCCAGTCAGTTGGAAGAAGTACATGAGTAAAGGAAAAGGATTGATGTATGATATTAATCACTATGATAAACTATTTCTCTTTTATAGCAATCGTAAACATGTCATTTTTTCACATCCTTATATCACTAACCTTTGATTGAACTTAAATTTTGAGTCGAAGGAAATGAAATATTTGTTTTTGGATTAGAATTATTTTTTGTAATGTTTGAAAAATTTTCTCAGCATTCACCGTTAAAATAGCATTTCACCGTTATAACAATTTAACAAAATGTTTTTTTAATGACATTTTGTTAAATTATTTAACTATTGACCGGTCTATCGATGGTATGTCTTAATTTCCTCTTATTAAAAAGCATTAATTTTGCTACGATCAAAAGAGCATCCTGTAAAGTGTAAATAAATTCAAAACATTGAAATTTTTAATCTCAAATCACTTATATTGGTACTTTTGCTGACAATAATGAATTTGAGTTCATTATTTACATCCAGTTCCTAAACTTACTAGAAGGGGAAGAAATCAAACTCCCATGAAACTGAAAGTTATTCTCTTTTGTTCATAAATGTCTTGTTCATGTAACGTTTTGAAATTGGGAAAGAAGAAATCATCACGGAATGGAATGAGTGATACGCAATAATTTCTTAGCTTTTTTTTCTTGCTGGATACTGTAAACCTTCCATTTGTTATCGTACATTTTAACGGAAAGATTAGCTTTAATTTTTGGTTTTATGAGGGTCCATTCTGTAACAAAAATCTTCCTAAACTAAGAAATTTTTTTCCCTTTTTAATCAGTCTTTTTCAAATAGCAATAGGTACGATAATAAGCCAACATACACTGATTTAAATCACTACAAGGTTTAGAAATAACATGCACGGGAAACAATCTTCACATAACTTTCTCGTTTCTCGTAAGAATTCAATGTAATTAAACTTTAATCGTTTCTCTTTTTATGCTAGATTTTTCTAGCTGATATACCTCCTTGTATTCACCATCATCATAATTGAAAGTTCGAAATGCCTTCAAGAAGGATCCATAGCTTGATCCGTCTAAGTCATCCATTCACAAACTATCCTGCCCAATGCTTCTTCAGCAACTTCTCTTTCCTCATAATGTCCATTTTTACTTATTTTTGATCTATATTCTTTAGCTAACATAATCATCCTCAATTAAATCTCCATCTTTTCTATCTTCTTTCTGAGCTACAAATATGTCACCTTTCTCTTTCTCACCCTTTTTCTCTCTCTTTCTCTCCCTCTCTTTTCCGATCTTTCATCTTTTCATGGCAATATGCTATTATCACAATTAAAAAAGTGCAGCTGTTAAAACTAGATAGCAAAGGAGTTGTGTTAGTAGAGTAGCTGTTAGTGATAATGAGTAGATAGATATACGCAAGAAATCCGAAAGTAAAATTTATTGATCGAGACCTGATATTGATTATTCTAGAGAATTATTTCATCTTTATCCAGTATAAAAGAGTAACTGTACGTAATTTATCATCTGCTTATATTCTTTCCTGTCTTTTTTTCCCAATTCTTTTCTTAATTCTAAAAGAAATTAACTAGTACATTTAATTCACCCTTCCCTTTATGATTAACTAGACACCAAATGGACATCCTCAACCACCATCACTACTACAAGTCATCCAAATGCGCACATCACATCGATCAGCCTCCATGTTGTTTTGCTCAACGTTTCGGCGCAAATGGACTTCCTCTCTATGCTCCTTACAGCCACTACTCTCATCTCACTCTCTCGTTAACATTTGGTCCAATCGATCACGTGTTATTTACGTTCTACAATTCACATTCAAATACACATATACACATACACATAAGCGGATAGGTAGCCACAAATACACACATACGCATACATACATACATACATATATGTATACATAATACATACATACATACATACACATACATACATACATACATACATACATACATACATACATACACACATACATACATACATACACATACATACATACATACATATACATACATACATGCAACATGCATATACATATAGATATGCATTATTCGGGGATTGGTGCGAAAAAGTTTCAGTTTCTTCTCTGCACTCCGAAGTGGAATTTGTCCCATTAATGAGGATTGTATTGGATATGTTTGTTAATCTTTCTTCAAATCAGACAAGTAATAGTACAGCAATGATATCTAGTTGGTCAGAAGTTGAGATGAGTAGACGTTAAGAATGCAGGATAGACGTACGTGTTGAGATTCTTGGTCAAATCAGAGGTAGACTTGCTAGTGGACTAACCTTTAGGTAGATCAGGTCAAGACTTCATTGATCTCTTTCCTCCTGGTAAACACTGATTTGGAGAACTTCAGGGAGATATTGTCACATGTCACCTTTCGGTATCGAAAATTTCTTTCATGAGAGAAGTATAATGCCGTGCTAATTACCACGAATTATGCTATTGAAATAGAAAAAAGACGTTGCGTTCCATAAATATTTGGCTAAAATAAGAGATCTTGTGATCGTTGGAGGAAGAGGAAATCCAGACTTGCCGGAAGTTAAAAAAAATTGATTCGTTTAACCTTCTATACAGTATTTGTTATGCATTACTGTTCAAACTTGGCGGGAGTTACCAGCAAAAAATTGATTCGTTTAACCTACTCATACAGTAGCAGTCATACATTAGTAAGTCGCAGAAAAGATCGAACAATGTATCGGGAGAACAATGTATGAGCGACTGGTGATTTGCTTAGAGCTACTTTTTTGGAAATATTACGAAATTTGTAATGAATATTTTTTCTTTAGCCATGCAAAACCGTTTTCTTCCTTAATTTCAGGTCAAGCGCTTGCTGCTCAAATGTCACTCGCGCCACGCATAATGCTTCATTTTTCGGTGGAAGTTGAAGCAGTACGGTCGTGGGAGTATGTATTTGTAACAGGTTCAGCGCCGGCTTTGGGTGGATGGATGCCATCCGATGCGTTCCCTCTACTCCCGAGTCAGGACTCTGCGTTAGTGTTTTTCCTTCACTTATTATCGTTTGGTTGTATCTTAGAAGTTCAAAAATTTTTAATGAGGAAGAATTATTTGAACGGTTTGGAAGATTGTTAGTTTGTTCACAGTTTTGGGGAGTTCAAACAGCAGCAGCAGCAGCAGCAACAGCAGTTCTGTGTTTTGGGCGAGTTATAACTCTCGAATTCTCATTGTTCTTGATAGTACAAAAGTACGTCAAAATAACTGTTAACGTATGATATTGAAAACCAATGAGTTATGAAATGGTCACATCTTTATAAATGGTTATGTGAGTGTCTCAGGTTACGTAGCTCGTGTGTGAAGTTCCTCTCTCTTTTCTTTTAAATAGAACTTGCTGATTTATGGCGACTGAAGTATAACTTTCTCTGAGGTAACTGAAGTATAGCTTTCACCGGGGGTAACTGAAGTATAGCTTTCACTGAGGTAACTGGAGTATAGCTCTCACTAGACCTTTCATCTCTTACTTTTTTGAGATTAAAACAGTACTGTGTTAAAATATATGAATGGCTTGGTTAAAATATTGTGAGTGATTTCTAGGACATTAAAATGGAGCTCATTTATGCTAAAAATTACGCTTAATGTTTTTTGAAGACAGTAAAATGTTTTGGAGAGGATAATATCCTACAAAAATAGAAGGTAAAATACGAATTGCACCAGAACCGAATTTATGGATGACTTCTTTGGATCGCGTAAATTCTTTCATGAAAGTTATATTTGTAGAAATTTTAGTTTCACAAAAAATAAGAAGTAGAAAAGGTGGATGCTTGCTTTAATAATTAAAAAAAGTACCCATACGATGCGCTAGGAATATTCACGTGGCATGAACTTTACTGCGAATATATAAACGAAATGCAGTAGCTAAAAAGATGTTTGATATTGGGAAAGAGCAGGTCGGATATCGCATCAAACCAGTTTCAATATGGCTGTTTTAAAATCTGTTCGATTTCAAATCCCAAAAGAAACTAGTTATAGATATTATTCTGATTAAAGTTTCGAAATTCTAATATGTTTGTTTTTCAGTAGACAGCGTTGGGAAGGTGTAGTGGAAGTTGGATCGGATCCAGTGAAATTCCGCTATTTCATTGGATATTATTTGCACAGTGGCAAAGAAGAAGAGAAAAATGCAAGTTTTCTTTTTTCTGTCACTTGAATGGCGAGCGAGAAATGAAACAAGAAATGCGCTTGGCGAATGTCTAGGAATATATAAATGAACTTTCAAAAAGAATTTCAGGAATTGGTCGTTAGTAAATGGGAATCATTTTTGAATCCCAGGTCTGTTCTACCAGCTGTTGAATCGATCTCGGGTGTGTGCCATTTGCATGTTACCGACAAATTTGGCTGGAGTTGTAAGATTTCTATTGTTTTATTTTCCTTTGATTAACATATGTTAGATTGAAAATTCTTCTTGCTAATGAATGTATTTGTATCCTATACGGGGAAATTTTAGAGCTGAGAAATAAGGAAGTTGTTTCGCTCATTTCGTAAAAAAAAATAAAATCACAGGTAGATAACAGTTAGGGATAGCATACTCGTAGGAAAAGATCCATAAATAACAGTTGAAAGTTCTTACGGTTTTTTATTGTGTTGGAGTAGGATGAGCTAGGAAACAGTTCATTTCCGTATTTTTCTCATTTTTAGAACAACTCTGGAATTTCTACTGTTTCAGCTGGCAAAAGTCTCGTGAGCGAAGCGTCACTTTTGGGAAAGAATCAGAACGAAATTTTACTTCGCTTTCACGGAAATCCATTCAAATTCTACAAGAAACGTTATGCGGAACGTTCTTATTGCATCAAAGTGACACCGTTTGATCTGAGACATAGAGAGGTAGCCATTGTTTTGTTATGTTGTAATAGCAGTTTCGATCTATTTTTCAGAACTATGCAAATTGCTGGGAATTTTTGGCTATTTTGTTATATCATTCCTATTTGGCACCAGTAGAAATTTTTTTGCCCAGCAAAAACATCTGACATTCCACATGCTACAAGACATGGAAAATTAAAATTTATATGTAGTTTTTTTGACTAATATCTCAGACTATATTCACGTCATACGTATTTTTAACAAGTAACTTCTAAATTTAGATGTTCAGTTACGAATTGAACGAACGTACTGCTTGGCGAGCGTGGTCATGCGTCGTAGGCTATTTTGAACTTATTACTGGTGTTGTCTTGTGATGTAGTATTAGTATTTTGTGCTTTAACTTTAATAAGGTTTGATATGAACCTTTTCTCCCACGAGTTTCCGTTTTAGGCAAGTCATCGATATGTAGGTGACTGAACAGTGCCAGTGTAAACCGGACATTTGTCTTGGAATCTTCTAGCGATCCAAGATGACTGTGTGTCGTTAAAGACTGAATTAGAAGGATTAAAAGATTGGTTTGATGAGACTCGTAACATCCATATAGTTGCAACATCTGATCATTTGATAGTTATCTACTTTCTCAGTTTACGCTGTGTATTGTCACTGTTTTACATAAAACGAAATTTTGTTGCTTTCAATCTTTGCTTCTTGACATTTTCATTTCCATTATAACTTTTTGCATTTACTCGCATAATCTCATCATTATCCCAAATCGTGTCTGGTGGGAAATAAAACGGTGATTTTTGAACAAAAGTTACTCAGTCTTCCATTATTATTCTCGGCGTTACTTTTTTTTTTTCTAGGAATATTTTTCTGTGAATTGAAAAACATCTTTAGAAAATAACAAAAAAGTCCATCTCAAATCGATTAATTTGAAAATATTTCCTATTTTTTTTTTTCTACACATTTACTCAAGTCTTTCATTTTCAAATCATCTTATAATCGTGCTTTTTCTGCTATTTTTCTAGGAATATTTTTCTGTGAATTGAAAAACATCTTTAGAAAATAACAAAAAAGTCCATCTCAAATCGATTAATTTGAAAATATTTCCTATTCATAAGTTAGGACATCAATTGAAGTCCCTTCAAATTTCGTATCGGTTCAAGCTTTTTGAATGTTGGAATGTTGTGTCAGTCAGTTCCACGTTATCAACTTGGAAGTCTATAATAAGCCGTAGAAGTGTAAGTAGACAAATTTCCTCAAATTTTGGTATTTTTTACAGGCTGGCAGCGTGGATGACGATGATAATGAAGAGGGTCAGGATGTCGTGCAACCGGTAGTACCGTCATATTCAGTGGCACATATTGCTGTAAGATTTTATATTTCTATCGCATTTTTAAAATAACTCATATCATTTGTGTAGATCTACACGTTCATTTTCTAATAAATATATCATCAGGAATAAAACAAACAGAAGATTGATATTGTAAGTAATAGGTTTTTGCTGCACAGTTGATGGGTTGTTGGAGTATACTTGACGAAAATATGGATGATTAGCAAATTTTAATGTTTTATTGAGGTTAACATTATTAAACTAGCATGCATTTGCGCCACATATATTGACATACTTTTCATAATTCATTAATGTGATTGATTCTTCGTAGTGGGATATGGAATATCAATCTTTATGCTTTATGCGAACTTCATCAGGTTGCATTCTTTGTTTTTTATACATATAAACACACATCATTACAATGGTTGGATGGCATCTATATTCCTTATAGTTTCAAAAAAGGAAGGGATTTCCATATACTGACTAATCAGTTTGTTGTACCAAGTGCCTAATGGGATCAATCTCTCTGGTGCCCGGCGTTAATTTTTTTTTTTCAGGAAGGCATCCATATGTTTCCCTTCGGTATGCATCGGTAGATGCGCTGCACTAACTGAATAACCGGATAGGCATTCTTGGTCATCCTTTTACTCTTTTCGTTGAAGATTAATATTTCCATACAAGTGGCACAAATTTACCTGTAGTAGTAGGAAGTGGCGCAAATGTTTCATAGTCTTTATTTGATTCTGTAGAAAGTCCAGACCTTTATATTTTTTAATATCGTTGACATACCAAATATTATGTAGATTTCCACTAGTAATTGAGTTGTGCGGAAAAAATACATTTGGAATGGTGCTTTTTTTCATAAAAAAAAATGACACTTTTGCAGAGATTTGTAGTGATACATGTGGCTTGAAAAATGCGGATTGCTGGAGCTAAGGATTTTATTTTACATAATAATAGGTTTAGGGTGCTTTATTCTTTTGGATTTTTTCTTAATCCGATGCGTTTTGTCCTGCTGCAGTTTACCAAGTCATGGAACTCTAAATTAATAAATCCTCTTTCCTGCCAAAAGCCTCAACTTGATTTTTACCTCATTTGGCTGATGAACAAAAAATTTCATCAAATTCCAGTACATTGAGTCTCTGACGTAAATATTTTTCCAGGAACGAAGATTGCATTCATAGAAGAAATTTAGTGATTAGCCTGTTTGTGCAAGCAATTTGCTGATTAAAATCTTTTTTGAACAAATGCCATAGAAACTGAATTTTATTTGGAGGAATTGAAGTGACGTCTGAATATCACTAAGTAACATTAAGATGCTCGAAAGATTCGAAACCCAAAAAGTTGTTGGCTTTTGGTAGGAAATATGAATACTGTGGTATAGTTCGGAAATGGGAACTCAGTTTTTTGGAGTGTGAAACTTAGCACATACTTTTCCTTTCAGATTCAAAACTGTTTTGTTTTTGTTTTGAGGTCAGGTTCTAGCGAAGTGCAAGTTTTATGTTCTCCAGCAGTCATCAAACTTCGTTAGCTCAGTTAATCGGATTTGATGTTTTTGACGTCATTAATAAGCTGTTTTCGTAAAAAGAGTAGTGTATTAGTTCGGAAGGCTTGCCCGTCATTTTTTTTTTCGAAGACCACTTCTGGTCTTCGGAAAAACTCCGGGATTCTTAAATTGGTTTCTAAGAAAAAGTTGGATTCTGCCAAATTCTACTAAATTCTCACAGATAATAGAATTCTATAGAAATGAATGGTTGCTATTTGATGTAGCCGTTTTGTGTTTAAAAGATGAAAAATGGAGGGGAGGTATGAAAGTTAAAATTCTATTACTTCTAGAAAGAAGTGTTCACTTCTAGAAAAGAGGGGAGGTTTGAATTTTCAATCTTCTTCGCCATTCCAATAAGGGATAATGTAATTGTTAGAAGTAGTGCTATTCTAAGTAGTTTAGAATGAAAGGAAGGACTGTTTACTGAAGCAGTGATGGGCCTGAAATCATGATAAACAAAAAGGAACAAACATGGCTGAGTCGTTTTAAAAGACACTTGGTAATTCTTCGGGAATTTTGTTTTCTTTCAATTGTTAATGGAAATGATTAATCGGCTCCATCACCGCCTTTTAAAGATGTGTTCTTAATGGTTCTTGTCTCTTTAGTATGTGACAGTTTTCCGTTACCATATGTAGAATTCATAGTGGAAGCCACTCTTTCAGATTTTGCCGTAATGTGCTTGCTGCAGCATGATGGATGGTATGGAAAAAGTCAGATATAATACACTATGATGGGTTGTGTCCATCCATGGTCGTATGATGATGAGAGGATACTGTGAGGATCGAGGAAAGAATGAACCGTAGCGATGTCGAATGTTGTCTGTACAGCACACACATACACACACATACTTTTTTCATCATAAGCTTTGTTACCGAAGCTTACAGATGCCATGGAGGAGCTGAACCCAGAGTGATACCATCTACTACTGCTACCAACACTACGCCTATCACTGTCATCAGCAATGAATGAAGCACAACTATCAAATCTTTGTTGTGCGCAACCCGCAATTTTAATTTTCAGATTTTATCATCGGATGATCCACACTACCGCGAACAATCGCCTTCCGGTGATCGCTTTAAAGTGGGCAGTGATTATTTTATATTCCGGACACGATCGGTGGCGGTGGAGTTTCTTGTTAGCATCAAGTTTTTTTTTTCGAAAGATTCTTTACCTTGAAATTTCATTTTCCGTTCATTTTAAGGATTTTCATTGGAAGGGTAGGCAGAACAAATATGTAATAGCTGATTGGCTAGCGGCTAAAAATTTTTAGATAATCCGCAAGCGAAAGCTGTTCATACTGGAAGCAGAGGAGGGAGATAGAAGATGGATCATAATTATTTAAAGATGATTTGGATTCTCCTAAAAGACTTTTGAGAACATTAATGGGGGAATTCAAATCATGGTTACAAACTGAAAATCAGGATGATCCATTGGAGTTATTTTCTGAACATTAGGAACTGAATCTAGCGGGATAAAATAAGAGAAAAGATAGAACTCTTGTTCGGGTTGATTGTTGTTTTTTATGCAGGTGGAAATACAGTTTTTTCTACAATATCAAGAAGTTTAAATATTAGGGACATTAAAAGATGCCAGCTGAATTTTTTGTCCTCTGTGGAAGGAAGTCCGGATTGAAGAGTAGTTACCCAGCAAATAAAACTTGACCCCGCTCAAAGATGAAGGTGGCAATTTCAGTTAAGGATGGTCCATTAGGTAGTTAACGAACCTCTGAAAATTTATTTCTGCTTCATTTCACATGTTCGCATGTTGAAATCGGTATGGATGAATCAAAAACTTGGAAATGAACTAAATGAATTTAAAAAACAACTGAAAATATTCTTTATATTGGAACACTGTGCTCTTCCGGAAGAAATCAGATCTGATCATTATGTGGGTCAGTTAGGCAGCAATGCTTGGTTTTTCGTGAAAGCCGTATTGCTGTTAGCGCGAAAGCGATTTTTTTCAGTCATCTCATCGTTAAGCATGTTTTTAACACTTTCGATTAGAAATAAACGTTTGAGGGTTTCCGGATAGAATTATTTGCCTATGACGAAGAACATGGACCGTCTACAGAGCGTTTTGCAATTGCGTATGCACTGCCTTCATCATTCAGCGGTACATTCGGCGTTGCTGGTGAACCGCTTTTGGTGAAAAATCGCCCAGTTGGACAAATTAATGGTAGCTTTTTGTCAGTGAATGTTACATTTTCTGTTTTTATGATAAAGATCGAATTTCCTTCCCGAAAATTAAACATTTTCCCTTATGTATCTTGGAATTATTCGTTTAGTATTCTTTTGTCCATCGAGCAACTTTCATTTTTCTTTGCTATCACTGGTTTAGTTCTTTTCATGTGTAAATTAAATTAAATTATCACTGTTTTGATCAGAAATAATTTCTTCCAGTGTTTTTCGTATTAAAACAATCAGGGTATTCCGTCATTTGTTTACAGTGGAGTATTTATTCATTCGACCACTTCTGACGTCATGTTCAGTACAGAAAATGAATATTTCCTATGCTAAACACTGGAAGAAGCGGCAGCCTCTTGAAGTTGGTCACAGGGGTATGGGCAATTCGTACACGAAGTATGCGATTTCAGTAATTAATTTCTGATTTGTTTCTTCAAGCAAATTATCATCGAAGCTAAAGCTTCGATCTCCTTTATCCTTTGATAGATCTCCTTTATCAACTTTAAGAAACCGAAAGCTTTTTGTGCCCACAGTTACGATTAAAGCTTTCAGCGGAACCTCCTGCAAAAAGCGGGACCTCATGCAAAAAATATGCAGTTCTTACAAAGGAGTTAAGGGAATTAAGTAGTAGCCTTTTTTATTCTCGAACATGCCATGTAATTTTTCAGAATGAATGCAGGTCGTGAGAATACAATACACTCGCTCAATACTGCTGCAAAACGTGGTGCTGATTATGTTGAATTCGATGTTCAACTTTCAAAAGATAAAGTATACTTTGTTTGTTTAGTGAGAGCATTATACTTATCAGATCTTATCAGATTTAGCGATTTATAGACATTCGAGTAGTACAGAGAAGCTGAGAAGTCAGTTAAAATAATTTGAAACATGGTGTAAAATATTGCTTCATTTAAAACATGATGTGTAGGGTACTGCTAGAGATTTACTGAGAATTTGTTGTAGTTGTTTCTTTTATTAAAAAAAGATTCTTTTTTTAAAATTGTATTCAGAGGAGGGATATTGCGAATCTGTTGTAGGCTGATAATTATGGATTGTGAGAATCTAAAATCAAATTAACTATGATTTTTACTGGAAATGGTGCAGTACTTAAAAAATTGATCGATTTTATAGATCGCCGTTATATTTCATGATTTCCACGTCTTGGTTACCGTAGCAAAGCGTCGAACCCCTCGCTTGGAAGCGCAACCTGCTGAAGCAGCTAATGATTACCATGAAATCGCTGTGAAAGATCTAAAATTGAAACAGCTTCAGTTACTTCGTGTATGTCTGTTTAGTTTGTAGGGATCTGTTTTGATTGCTTTTCACTATGATTCATCTAAGTATGGGCCTGTTTTATGCCAAGAAGCGATCTAAATAGTTGCAAAAACTGTCTTCCTATTGTAATTCAGCTTTTTCTATCCATAAGCTCTTTTCCCTTCTGATTACTGAGAAGTGTGGATTTTATTACGGACACTTTCCTCTTATACATATATTGCGATGGAAATATTGAAATTCTCATAATTTGCATATTTTTAAATCGAGGAAAACATTGCAGCTGGAGCATTATAAAGCGAATCAGACTCAGACGAGGCAGAATTACACAAAGTTAAGTGCCGAAGCAGATGAGCAAGATGAACGTCTGCCATTCCCGACACTGCTGGATGCATTACATCAAGTTGATTCATCTGTTGGTTTCAACATTGAAATAAAGTATCCAATGATGCAAAAGGTTTCTTGATTTATGGTACTTTCCAATACTTCAGTTTTAGCAATATTGAATCTTATTTTAGCAGTTAGAAGACTGGCGAAAAAGAAATTTTTGTTGCTAAAGTAGGAGTTGCGAGACTTTTTAAATATAAATGCTTATGAGATGTAACTTTTAACTTATAGGGCCATGAATTTTGATAATGAAAGGGATGAGACTTTCAATATTTTTTTCCAGAATGGATTACATGAATGTGAAAATTATTTCGAGCGCAATGATTACATTGATATCGTCCTCAGTGATGTATTGAGCAATGCTGGTGATCGTCGAATTGTGTTCTCTTCATTCGATCCTGATTGCTGTGCCCTGTAAGTTTTACACTTTTTTGCCCTTTTCCGATTATATAAGGGTGATACGTAGTAGGTGAACAAGTGCTAAAATTTTTGGTTTCATCGAAGATGTTTATGTGTGAAGAGTAGATGATTTATGAAAATGAAAAAGAAATCTTTCCAGTGCGAGTATATCGAGATTGAACTCCTCAAGCTATTCAACTGAGAAAACTATTCAACTTTCTTTTTTAGCTTATTATGTTTTCTATGATCGAATACTTATAGATTAGCGGCAAAGCAACATTTGTATCCAGTACTGTTTCTTTGCGTTGGTGTCACAACGCGTTATGAACCGTTTGTTGACTTGCGTTCATCAACTTCTAATGCTGCACTTAATTTCGCTGCTTGTATTGATATCCTGGTAAGCTATTATTATTCACTTATGCATAATGTTGAAAATCACATATCTAGATGACTTTTTATACTCTTATCACGGAAATAATATAATCGGTCGCGTAAGAGTAATGTGATTCTTTAATTCAATTTAGATAACATTTATGATTCCTTAATTCATTTTAGATTTGTTTCTCCTAAAGTTTGGATTTGACTTCCTACGATATCCTTATATCTGATGGATGTTTAAGTTCTTGTGGAGTTTTCGGAAAAAGAGATCATATTTTCTTGGACAGCTGTCTTTTGTTGAGTTTCATTGCAGTTATTTTTTTTAGGGTGTAAATTTTCATACTGAAGACTTGTTAAGAGATCCGTCACCTATACAGCGTGCTCGAAAATTTGGTTTAATTTCATTCGTTTGGGGTGATGATCTTGATAATAAAGAAAATATCGACTACTTCAAAAAAGTGCTTCGTGTCGACGGTCTCATTTATGATAGGTATTTTTCTGAAAATTATTATAAGTAAATATTTTGCAGAGCACTTGAAGTGCCGTAAAGAGCTTACAATGAATTGTGCTAACTCCATATTTCACTGTTATTCCTCTTGATTTAGCTAATCTGTGTTTAATCACGTTTTTTTTTTTTAACCTAATGCTAAAAAGCGGTGATTTTTTTTGTTATATTCTAGGATAGGTGAAATTGAGGCACGTCGAAATGTTTTTTTGGTGGAGCGTGAAGCAAAAGCATCACTATTTCGGCAGAGCATTTCGCCAATCGCATCTCGTACCGTTTCACTTGATGACGGACCACCGTCGCCGGCTGTATCGGAAAATTCGCATTCCTCAGGGTCTACTGTTTCATCGAACAATTCGTTTTATTTGCATCGCCCACAAACTTCTCTTTCTTCGAGAAAAGTGTACGTTCTTTTTCTTCTTAGATATTGCTTGTCCTTTTTTTTTCAGTGAAAACTCGATATAATTTCGAATTTATTGCACAAATCTTTATCAGTACAAAAATAATTTATCAAATATATATTTATGTGGAATAATTTATCAAATATATATTTATGTATCTATTGCAACTACCCTCTTGGATAATGGTACATTCATTTTTGAACTTAATTTCTAAAATCTCATCAAATCCAATGTAATATAAAACAGAACAATGTTGAAGCATGGCGAAGTATATTTTCCAAATCTGCAGATTACCTGAAAAGATATCTCCATATGTTCGTTCGAGTTATCACTTGCCCAACTAATGGGTAGACTAACTTAAATGATGGAACGGTTTGATAGTTTGCACCTTAGTCTTCCTTTAGTGTATCGTTGACAGTGATTTCTAGATTTTCTGCATCACTAAAATACTTGCATTCTGTCAAGAGTAGATTTAACGTTGCAGATGGATGCCTGAAGGAAGGTCATAATTTCTGCTTCCGTCTCTATCACTAAAGTGAAACAGGAGATTATGTACGATTATTGCATCTCTTTTTTGTAGAAAAATTCATACCATCTGGCTACCCTTTCCCCTTCCCCCTTCCAATGCTAAGATTTTTTTATAAAAATTAGGGATTGGAAAGTAGGAGAGTTGTTTCGCTCCCATCACGATGTTTAAACTGATGAACTGAGTCAAATTTCAATATTTTTAGTAAGTCAGAAAAAGGAAGTAGTACTTTGATGACCATAATTTTTTGCTTTCAGGTCAGTCACATTGGAAGATTTGCAAGTGAACAAGAGTGGTAATGTGATACGTGACGAAAGTCTTTTTACATCAAATAATTGTCTGCATTCTACACCATATTCTTAGAAACCAACTGTTTCGTCTCAATGTATTCTCGATTGTTGTTTTTCTCACTTTTTCTTAAATACGTTGAACTGCAAATGTTTTGTCCTTTCTCAATTTTTCATGCAGGAAAGAAGCTGAAATCGAAATTTTGATAAACCTCAGTAATGAATTCACTACTTTGGAATTCACGAAATATTTTTGACGACTTCCTCGCTTTCTGCTTTTATACCACTTCTAAGCTTTTTAGAACTAATTTTTATAAAATTTCTTTAAAACAGTTTTTTTTTTCGAAGTTTTGATTGACTTTATACTGAAAGGAATAGCATTGGCTCTGTTTCATAATTGTATTTTCGAATCACCGGATCAATTTATGATTTTTAAAAGTACACTTGATAAGTGCTCGACAACCCTTGTTTCTTGGTATGTTTGTAAGGTTATCCCGGTGTCTCTCTAATGTTCATTTAGTAATTAATTCTTCCATGGTACCTTCGGATGCTATATTTTTGGTTTTATGTAAACATTTGCAAATGATATATGCTTGAATCATTCCGTACGTACACATTGTTACGTTCGTTTCCTTACTTATTTTTTACCAATATTCATGAGTTTTTGATGTCTAAGATATGAAGTTTTTCCTTTTACTCAGGAGATATTTACACTTGTTTTTTTCACATATCGATCAAGAAAGTTACGAATTATTGGTAATATTCCAGTTAGTCTTGCTAAATATATCTGTTTGCAAAGGAAGCACTATTTGTAAACGTTTATCTCTGTAGATCTTCTGCGTTTGACCTTTGATATTGTCTTTATTGCATACTTAATTGCATGTATTTTTCTGTTTTTCCTTTTTTCCCTTTTTTTACCAAGTTCTGCTTATATTTTTTAACATTCCGACGTAAGCCGAAGCGTCGCTATATAGGAATATATTTGTAACTAAACACTGAGGAAAAATTGACGAGTTTTGACGTAAGTAGATCTATCGAGTAATTACTCATGAATTGCTAAGTAAAATCATTTTTGGACAAAAGACATTTTAGCGCTGATGTTTTTATTTCTTTATTTCCCCCATTATGTTTTCCGCACTTATGATGATGGTGTTAGCGCGTAACAGATGTGATTTTTTTTTTGAAATGAGAAGAAACATTTTGATAGAACTTGTAATCTAATTTTTCTGTTGTTTTGCACATAGATGTTGTTTGCATTCTCAGAAGGATTTTTAGTTGCACGGGGAAATGGTTCTATCAAATGTTTCAGGATTATTTCCTGAAGGAAAGTATGAGAGAATGATGAAGTGCCTCAGGCTATATGGATTTTGAATGTTAATGGATTTTTCATATTTTGAATATTAATGGATTTTTCTTAGGTTTTCATTTTTACCTTATGTTCCCTAACTTTTGCTACTTATGCTTTTGTCGTTATTACTGTCCATGCAAAGAAGTGACAAATGTTTTTATGCCATGACATTCAACTGTATTGTTTATCAATTTGCAATAACCGTTTAGCGAGCCGATAATATCTTCCAAGTCCCACTGACTCTACTCACTCAAGATTCTAATTTACAATCCCAGGAGTGGGATGATCCATGTTAATATCAAATAATAAGCTTCGTAGTAGCGGTATTCCACTGGATCTCGTGAATGTATATCTTGTGGACATCATTTACCACATGTATATTTGTCCTCTTCTATTATCATTGGTGATGATGAATAAACGAACAAGTCTTCGGAGGCTGAAATAGTCGGTGGACTTGAGGTCTTCAAGTAATATGGCATATCACTGAGTACTTCTAATATAGTAAAGCAACAGCTTGAGCTTTAAAATTTCGAAGTTAATACTTGTGTGAATTCGAAGGGTCATTGTAACATGGTATAAAATGGTGTGGTAATGTTAACGTGTGTTGCATACCGTGTCTCAAACATTTCCGGTATTTAGTTTTGAATTTATGACATCTTTAATTTCTCTTGTTAAATACGCTGCGGTAGAGTGTTTTGTTAATGTAAATATTTGAAAAGGTGGTTGGGAATTAAGATCTCTGAGGCGCTTAATGTTTTGTTCTGGATTAAATCCGTTTAACTGGATCAATTAATGCGGAAGGTAGGGTATGTTGCATTCAACCTTCAGCAGATGACAGATGAAGCGGATGTATTAAGCTTGATGTCAGGTTTGTGCTTGATGATACAGCTTTGATGGCGTGAATTATCGTTTTAATTATTGTATCATTAAAGAGAGATGTCGACTCACGGAGGTAGTATTAAACCAACCAGTAATAGCGATCCCTCAAATCCAATCAGAAAAAAAGTGGAGTCATTGGTTTCGCAAAAATTACACACTGATCAGGTATTCGTGAAATTTTGGTATTAATTTTAGATGTGGTTTTACGTATGAAGACAAGTAAAATATCTTTTTTGGGTTATTCCGATTCTGAGTTTTTTGATTATTCTGATCTATTCCTGAACATTGGAGAATGATACTCTTGTGTGTCCTCATAGTATGTCACCTCGGGAACTTATGATGTTAGAAAACTGCTAAACTAGAAGTGGTAAGCTTGAAGGTTTTGCAAACCTAAGAAGTAATGTGTTTGACTTGGAGTTTAACAATGCATGAAGGGATAATGAGCGGATTGTCTTGGACTCATTCAGGTCCTACTTAGGAAGGGAAGTTGGATGGTAGAACTCATTCTATTGTCTCGATTCTACAATAGATTCTTTTCATAATGGTTTATTTGTTCCATTTCATGATTTTTTTCGCAGGATTTTTTAAAAATGATGGATTATGTTGCACCAATCGTGAAAGAAATTGATATTCATGTGGAACGGAAGTTGGTATATGAGTTAGAGGAACGAAAAATTAAAGCAAATCGGGAATACATGAAAGCTTTTGGATTGGTAGTTTGTTTGACATCTTACCTTTTTATGTTTTTTTAATGGGCTTAATTTATTACTGATATAATCTGGACCACCCCTCTCTCTCTTTGAATCCCATTATCAGTAATTTTTAATGATGATGATGACGAAGGAAGGTAACGAAAAGTATTACTAACAGTGAGAAAGGTTGAATTTAGTTTTCTGAGGGAGAAGTTCCAAGACTTTCTGTTAACAATAGTTGGGATACTCTGCATATGTTATAGTTCACGTAACAAAAGCAAGAAGAGGGATGTTACAGGTAAATGATCGGGTGCAAGATTTCGTGGCCAAAGTCATGCAGTTGAACGGTATATGTCAGGATATGACGCATAAAATACAGTCGAATAAAGCGAAAACCCAAGATTTACTAGCAAGAACTGCTGCATTGCAGAATGCGAAGTAATTTTCCATAAATTTCACAACAAGTTCAATTCAGTAACATCTCTCGTATCCAAACTGAGACGATATTAATAGTGGGTAATTCTGGATGATCATAAGCATCAGCGATTTAACCATTACTAGAAGATGTTGTATAAAGAAGGGTGAAGTATTTAATGTTCTTGTACTCGACTTATAACTTACGTAAAGCATCTTAATTTTGGATGGTTAAGTTAATATAATTGTTGCTAATATCTCTTTTTGCACTGTGAAAGTAATCTCTCATTGGACAGTATAAGACAACATTTTAAATGCCAATAACATGGCCTTATTTGTTGTAATTTGTTGTAGTGTAGTGTTTTATAAAATAATATCTGGAATGGTAATTTAGGTTTTTGCAGGAGAACACTTGAGAAAAAACAGGTAGCGATTGATGATTTCTTGAGTCGTTATTCATTAGCACCTGAAGAAGAAGCTGCTCTGAAAGGTTCCGAGGCTGGTTAGCTTTCCTTGCGTTTTTCTTAATAATTGTTCTTTATAATATCGAAGTGTCCTGATTATGACAGCGATTCTTTTAGTTCTTATTGCTTCCACTTCATTTATTATGTGGAATACTTTGGAATCTCCCAAACTTTTGGTTTAAATGTTGAAATCAGGAGCTCTTCATTGCAGATGGCACAGTTGACACAAAGTTTTTTGCGGCATTACAACGTGTGAAGCAGATTCATGATGACAGTAAACAACTTCTACGATCTTCTGGAGAGCATCTTGCAGCGTAGTTTTCTTCAAATGACGTTGCCTTTACTCTTTCGGGATTTTCTGAGGATAAAGGATCATAATCATTATAGAAAAATGGGATTGATAATAATTAATAAAGAATCGTAATAATTGACAGCTTTTTAGATTGGACATAATGGAAGAAATGGCAAATAAATTGGAAGAAGCGTATGAAGTGCTCTACCGTTCAATTCAGCGTATATTTTCGACTTCATTTTAATTTTATTTCAAAACTAACCGCGATATTTTATTAAGGTTTACTATTTTTGAGAACTTAGTGGAATTTGAGGTAGGAAATTCATCCTTTCTTGAAATTTAGGGTGGAATATATTTCATAGAAACTTTAGATATTGCAGAAAATATCGATTTGTCACATAGTTTTGATGCAAGACTTTTTAGAGGGTGTAAATAAAATATAACTCATGTTTTTATTTTATGAAGGACTTCTAAGACAAATAGTCATTTCTCAGCAATCTAAATTGTTTCATAATTTTATTCAGACTTGATTTAAAATCAGTGGATTATCAAGGTTACTTTCCCGATGAAATTTGGATCATAGGAATTTAATTTTTATTAACAATTTGGAATGAATTTTTTTTTGGCAATCTTTGGTGCAGGATATACTCATATTCTTCAGCTTGTCAACATTTAGGAGAGTGTCGACTGCTTAATGTGGAATTCTTGGAACTGAAAGGAGTTTTGGTACAATCAGTTGCAGCGCTTCAAGACCGTGAAGTGCTTTTCAAGTATGTCTTAGATGAGTACACTACGGCACGAAGAAATCATGTAGTACGAGCATATATCGATGCACTGACACGAGGAGGTTCGTTACGTTTTTGGAATACTTTCTTTTTTCGATAAATTAATGCGTGGAATCCTTATGCTAACAAGCTGTCTAATCTTTGAGGTCAGTCAGGTGCTTGTCAGCAATCAATTTTTACTGTTTATTTCTGAATTATAGTGTTGATTGTAACTTATCATGATTAAATCTATAGATCATTGAAACAGACTTGTTTATGGAGACCCTACCTTATCAGTTTTTCTTTGGGTATTCGCATGCTTTGAATGATAGTTTCTTCAGAATGGGGACTTTTGTCTTAAATTTCTAGTGAATTTCATTCAGCATATATTTGGTACAATCTTAACTTCCGTTATTAAATTTCCATTATTTCCTTCTACAGGTGCTGGAGGTACACCCAAACCAATTGAATTGTTGTCTCATAACCCGCTGAGGTAGGTTGTTTGGTGCTTATATTCTGTTTACTGTCGGCATTATTTCACATGCATAAACAGTGAAGATTGGTAAATACTTTGCAGTTTAATATTGTAAATTATCAAATCATGAAGCAGTTTTTTTATACAGAATTTTATTTTTTTACCGAAAAATTAGTTTCTTCTTTTATAATTGATCGGTATTTAGATCT